GCAGTCTGGCTGGCTCTGGCGCTCCAGTGACCTGCCGGGAAAGCAGGAGCTCCAAGTAGCTGCTGCCCCTTTGGGCTGCGGCCAGCAGGAACACCCACCGGCAGCCGGCCTAGATCAAGGCCTAGATGACCTCACCTCAGCCCAATCAGCAGAACCTTAGCCTACATCCAGTGCAGACTCAAGAGCACAGGCATCAGTGTGTGTTATTTTAAGACACTGAGTTTCAGGATAGCCTATTATAGAGCGTTATGGTGACACCTGTTGAGAAATACCGCCAGTGAAGGGATAAGCCAGAAATCAAAATCTAGGCCAGTAAGGCTCAAAAACCCACTACTGGTTCCACTATGATGAGTTTTCCCAACCAGATTAATGCCCCACTCCCAGGATGTGCCTGGTGCAGCAGAGTACCTTTTCAAGAGGCTACTGATACAACGTTCTCATTCCAACATCAAGCCACTGATTCAAAACCATGGTGAAGGCCATTATAGAGTATTACCTCCTTTCTGGAACACTGAATCTAAGACTTTCTTCTCCCATCACCCCAGACCTATGCATGGCCACGCCCAAAGCAACAGCTCCAAATGAACACTTCTGTAAGTAAGCTGCTATGTGCAGATGCAAAATTTTTTTTGAAAGTTTAACAGTATCTGAAAGAATGAACCTTTCACACAGAAAAGCACAACTAATATTTATCATCCATCTAACATTTACCAGATGGGTAAGTAGGAATATGAAAATAGACAAAATCCTCACCCTCATGGAGTGTACATTCTCGTAATACTTAAATAGCATAAAGGCATTTCCCAACTGCTTAACAGGCATAAACTCATTTATAAATCATGTATAACTGCTCAGAACCCTGTGTAAGGGCAATCACCCTATTACTATGTCCACTCCAGAGATGAGGAAACTGAGGACCAGAAATGACAGGTAGTTCTCCTGAAGGCAGAAAACAAACAGAGCCAGTCAGGGGTGTGGGTCTGGGCCCGCACTTTTGTCCACTATGCTATACTGTCCCTGTGACACTGTGTAACAGCAGCATTTTTAAGTCGAATGGGATGAACACTTTTACAAAGTCAAGCTTATGTACAGAAGGGAAGGGTGTGCATGTAATGACCTCAAAGATATGCTAGGTGGGAAAAAAGCAACAGTATGAAGACAATATTTGTTTTATTCTGGCCAGTATCTAATTCTTAATTCTGAAAGAAATCTTTTCCTATGACACCAAAATCTGACTCAGACTCCCTTGTTTTATTTGTTTGATATTAGTTAATTTTTGAAAAGATGAGATAAAGTCCCTAATACAAACCACAAAACAGTACAACTCACTTGCCATGTATTAATAACCTCAAAGAAAACTCAAAAACTATGTGCAGATCCCATTTTTGCCAAACCTCAATTCTTTTGACAAATTCAAAATCAAAGTATTAAAAACATTATCTGGAAGACCAAAATGGTTTTATATTAATTTCTTGTCTCTGAGGAATTACAACTAAATTTCTCATTTAAATAGCTTTGTCAAAATAGACATTCCGGAGAGCCAGGAGTCGTCTACAACTCGCACGCCGACCTCGCCTATTTCACACGCCCGTCCCTGGACGTCTGACTTGACCTCGGCACCTCTAGATCAGAACTGCGGAATCCCCACCTCCCTCGCCTGCTCCTCCCCGTCTCCCCTGGCCCTGGACATGGGGACTGCATAACCCCTACTCATGACAACCTCCGAGCTGTTCACGCCTTTCCCTCACACCCCACCATCCAATCAGCAAACCCTACTGGCTCTCAGTGGACCATCTCTGTAAGGTTCACGCACTTCTACGTCCTCTCGTTCACGTTCCCTCCCCTGTTCCCGACCTGGTCCCCCTGCTGTGACTGTCTCCCAATGGTCTGTCTCCACACAGCAGCCAGAAGGAAGCTATGAAAACCCAGGTAAGCGCATGTCACCCCTTGGCTTGAAACATCCGGTGGCTCCCTGCTTCTCTCAGACCAGTCCCGTGAAATCCCGCGGCCCGCCGCCCTACCTAATACGCCGGCCTCTCTGCATCCTCTCCCGCCCTCCCCAAGCCCTCCCCCCAAGCACGCCGCCGCCACAGTGTCGCTGCCCCTGCTGTGCCCTCTGCGGGGACGTTCTCCTCCCCACCACTCCATTCGGGCCTCCGCATTCCCTGCACTTTAAAACAGATCCAGATCTCCAGGCTGCAAACGCGGTCACCATGTGTGTGCTTACCCCACTGTACTTCTCTCCATAGCACTGACTGCACCCAAAGAACTGTATTTTGCCATATATAATGTGCTCCCACGTTTTTGACCCAAACATTCAGGAAAAGAGTATTTCAATTTAATTTTTTAATTTAATATTTTGTTTATATTTAGGTATTTTCCCTATTATAAAAGGAATTTTAGCGTTTTTTAATATGTTATGGTGCAAATTTTAGGTAACAAATAATTACAAAACACAAGATACAGATACAAGGTACAAGAAATTTTGTATACCAGTAACAAGTTAGTACTACTCATGTCTAATGAGCATCCTTATCTTTCCTTCAAAATTTTGGGCAAAATGGTATGCATCATACATGGCAAAATACAGGTAAACACTCACTTGTTATCGTCTGTCTCTGTCTCTGCAATATCTGCTTCACAAAAGCGAGGCTTTATTAGTTCACACTCCACCTGCCTCTTGGAGCAGAGCCTGGCAAAAGGACCCCACGCATCACCTGTCTGCCAGCTCGTTCTGACGTATCAAGTGAGAGCAGTGTCTCTCACCCTTGCATGCATCAGAACCACCTGCAGCAGCAATTTCCGCCCGGTATGCCACAGCATGCTGGTGCCCCAAGAAACTGCAAAGCATGCAAAACCTGACTATTCAGTCCAGGGCACTGACTCTTTCCCCTCGGATCGTCAAATTTAAAAAATGACAATGGTCTCCATAACAATAGCCACCCAGTGTGAATGAATCAAAATCACACCTATATTTTTGTCAGATCAGCAAAAAAAATTTTTTTGGTGTGCCACAGAATTTTAGGGACTAGCTTGTGTGTGCCTCGAGACGAAGAAGGTGACAAGGGCCGATTTACAGGGTGGGGAAGGCAGGCTGCTGACTCAGCCACCCTGGGCGGGGCTTGCACATTCAGAGGTTCCCAGCAGGTTGTGGATGCCATGGTCCTGGGACCACATTTTAAGAACCGCGGATCTAGACAATGCTATGCCTTTTTTTCTTTCAAAGAAGAATGAGGACCAGCTGGATCAAGGTTATAGTTCTAACAAGGTCTTAAAAGTATTCCACGTTAATGGCTAAGGCTGACACTTTATCTTTTCGAGTTTGGCTGAGAAGGCTGACATACTTCAGGAGACACTGAAGCACCAGAACAGCAGCCTGCAGTTGACAGAGCTGCCCAAATCACAACGCCCGTGTTTAGGAGCCACCCCAATACCCAGGGGCAGGCCCACAGTGGTCACGGTTAGGTCATGTAAGTGCGATCACAGCACGTCCCTAGTCATGGCAGACTGGTCCAAAACACGTTCTCCCTCCGAAGAATCTTAAGTCCAGACAAAGTGTGGGGGGCGCTAACTCGAAGGCACACTGAAAGCAAGGCTTTCAGCACAGAAGGTCCGAACTCCTACTGGGGTTCTCACGGTGGCCTGACTGCCACCTTTAGTCCTTTTTACTGGGCCCAATGCTCTTCCAACAGATTCTCTCTTTGTCTATGCTATCAACTATTTTTGTATACTTACAACCGAAGCACTAAAAAAACAACAAAACAAAACAGTAAATGCATTAGATTTGTAGAAAATTATACTGGAAATACAATTTGTGAAATATCGAAACTTTTTTCCATCAATCTACCTTAAGACATTTATTTCCCTTCTCTAGATTAGTATACTGTCCATAAAATCATTGAATTTTAAGAGTACACATCCCATATTTGACCACACAACACCAGCTCTTTCTTGTGCTTGCTTTCAGAAAAGTCCTCTGAAACTTAATGAAAAGCCACCAATTTGCCTTTAATTATTCAACAGGGAGTGGCTGCCTATCATGTCTAATGTCATGCACATCTGCAACACAGCAATCAATAACAAAACAGGTTCTTAAGTACCTTTAAAGACCTTGCTGGGGAGACAGAAAAAATAAGCAAGAAAAAATGTCAGATAATAAATGCTATTGGAGAGAAATAAAGACACTTAATGTGAAACAATGACTAACAAGATTGCTTTTAGATTAAATGGCCAGGGGAGGCCTCTCTGAAGTGACATTTAAGCTAAAACCTTAACAACAAGCAGCAGCCAGCAGCGGAGATCAGTGCACAGCTAACAGAAAGGGCCTCAGGCTAGAAACTGGCCCAACCTGTTCTCAGAGCCAGTGTGAGTGCAGCGAGGATTGAGGAAGAGGGAAACCCATTTACAGTGAGGTCAGAGAAAAGGACCGCGGCAAGTAGGGCTTTGTAACAAAAGCAGGCTTGGAGCTATTTGTAAATTAACTGGTATAGGACAAGGAGGCTATTTGCAACAAAATGTTTACACAGAAGAGTTGTGCAAGGGATTAAGAAAAACAAAAAACAGGTTATAAACAGTGGTTATCATAGAAATTTTAGAGCTGAAAGAAACCTTAGCTGTCCTAGTCCAAACTCTCATTTCACGGAAAAGACAACATGGCCCAGGCCAAGGCTTCTTTGAGGTCAGTCCGAAGTTGAGCTGGGAGTTCTGCGCAAAGCTCTGGAACGCTCAGGCCAATGCTCTTTACATAATTCTTGCCTTGATCTGAAATCTGAAACTGAGTCTTTACCCTGTGCATTGCCAAAAGGGACACAGCAGCATTCAAATGAAAACATATTTAAAATGTTTAAGTTATCCACACCTAATGATTCATACCTCTAGCCCTCTCATGAAACTCGTTCTAAGGCGGCTGCCGTGTCGGGGTGTTCACTGGCAGCACCCCCCCGCCCCGCCCCCGGGCACGTGAGGCGGGAAAGCGCAGACGGAGCCGCGCGCACACTTACGTCCGGGTACTCCTTCACAGGCACGTAGAGCTTCTCCTGCAGCTGGACCACCGGCCCCGCGGCGTCGGGCAGCTCGGCGCTCCTCTTCTCCGTGCTGCCGTTCAGCGTGTCGTTGTACATGTCTTTCCGCACTCTGCTGATTTCTGTGGGGGGGGGGGGGGGGGCGAGAGTGTTACACGTCTGAGACAAAAATGCTCTTGCTGGTCCGAGGGGGGAGAAAGAGGGGCGAGGGGCGAACTTTGTTGGCAAAGTGTTGAAACTCAAAGAAGTCAAGAATTGCTGACCTTGTCTATCATTCTCCGGATAACTCTAACAGGACTGTAGCTTCATTAATTTCTGCCAGAAATTAAATTTATACACCAAGTAATGTATTTTATTAAAACTAACCTCAGAGCCCAAGTTCTCATCCACTATGGCACATTAGGTAGATGTTATTTTATCTAATTCCTCCATGCATAAACGAGGCCAGGAACTCCAAACGACAGCTTTAGTCAAGTCACGACCACAAGAACGCCTATCAAACAAAACTTAACACCAAAGGCTCTCTTCTACTTCAGATAAATAGGTTGTTAGTTCAGCAGAAGTCTGAGTCTGATACTCCAATTTAGTGACTAAAGCTTTAGGAATAGAAAAGGCATGTTAGAAAGGGTGTGGGGAGAAGGCAGGATGGGATGAGCCTTAGGAAAACCAACATTTAAGGGGTGAGAAAAAGAAGATCCAAGCTGAGGAATGGAGGTAGACGGAAATGGGAAGAGTCGTCAAAGCAGCTAAGAAATGACAGGAACAAGGACAGGGTAATCGGAAGTGTCAAGTATCACAAAGGTATGGTAAGGTAAACAGCAAGGTACCTTGAATTTGACCACTAGAACACTGAGGATCAGACATTTTAAAGAAAAGATGGCAAAGAAAATTAAACTACATTGGGTTACTGAGTGAAATATAAAAAATAGAGAGATACCTAGCCAATTACCTTTAAAAAAAAAAAAACTATTATGACATCCCAGGTATAAGTATACTTCCTTAAAAGAAAGTATAAGAAATCTATTTTAATGAATCGAACCCTGTTCAAAAAATTAATGAACTCTTTCAAGAATCCCTTAAGCTCCCACAGAGTGCTCGAGGACAGGCTCCTGAGCACTGGAACAGAGGGGTTGTTGCTACTGAATGAGCCGGGCAGCCTGCAGGGCTGCTCAGTTGGTTCCAGTGCCTCCCAACACACCACAGTCGCGGTTCCACTCCTATCGGGGCACACCCACGAATCCGCCGCGAATGCATAAGTAAGTGAAACAACAAACCAATGATTTTCTCTTCCCACCTGCCCCTTCTCTCTCTAAAATCAGTTTAGAAATTTAAAATTTTTCCAAAAAAAAAAAAATTACAACATTTTTGTAACCATCTCTCCATTCTGTAGATTACATTCTCCTTGGAGGAAAAGGTTTGTGTCCATTAGTATTTAAAAATAAAGTTTTTTTTAAATGTATTTTGTATGCTTTATAAACATGGAATTTCAATCACTGTTATTAAGGAAATATCAAATATGAATGCACACTTGAATTGTTTTTAATCACTTTTAGTTAAGTAAAATCTAGCACAGCAAAAAGGCATTATAAAAGCTGTTCTTAGTTATATAGTCTTAATCAGTGGAAACACTACACTCTAATACATTTTCCGCTTCTGTGATGCCAATATTTTTAACAATTTTCTCTCAAAATACAACATGCTTGTCAAAGCTAAACCAATGTTTAGTTCTGAAAGAAAATGAAATTTTGAAAAAATTTCAAAAATGGTATCTTGGATTGAACTGTAATACATTATAGGAACAAGACCTCAATTCTTTATTTTTTTATACTTCCAGTTTCATGATGAAATCTCTCCTAAAGATGTCCAGTATTAAATCATGTTTTTCCTAAATTAGCATGTGACTGTAATTCTCAAATCAAGTTTTCAACAACCCAGTAGTAATTTAAATGCAAATGATTACTTATGTCATTATAGCAAATAATTAACTGAAGGGAATTAGAAAAAGTTAACCTAAATAAAATTACACACATCCTTTAGTCCCATTCTCCATATAAAAACACATTTTGTATTAGTTTATTACATTTAAACCTTCAAACTGACCAATTCTGGTTGTGAAGTTGATAAATGCTGATAGAGAAACCTGACAATATCATAAAAGGGAATTACAGATAAAATTTGCTTAGAAATACAGATGCAAACACCCTAAATTAAGAGGCTCCTCCAGCATATTAAAAGACTAATGCACCAAAACAAGCCCTGGCTGGCGTAGCTCAGTGGATTGAGCGTGGACTGCCAACCAAAGCATCGCAGGTTCAATTCGCAGTCAGGGCACATGCCTGGGTTGCAGGCCATGGCTCCCAGCAACTGCACACTGATGTTTCTCTCTCTCTCTTTCTCCCTCCCTTCCCTCTCTGAAAGTAAATAAAATCTTTAAAAATAAAAAAAAATAATGCACCAAAACAAAGTGGAATTTATACTATAAATGCAAGAGTAGTTCAATATTTAAAATCTATAAGTAATCAAAATAATGTAACTGTTTGAGACAAGGGAATGATTTTCCAGGTAAACAATTTTATCAAACTTAGAAAAACCAAGAGAATCAATTATAAATGAGACAATCCAGATGCCTCGATTTAAAAAAACATAAATATATAAAAACCAATAACCGCCCTGGCTGGTGTAGCTCAGTGGATTGAGCGCGGGCTGGGAACCAGTGTCCCAGGTTCGATTCCCAGCTAGGGTACATTCCTGGGTTGCAGGCCATAACCCCCGGCAACCGCACATTGATCTTTCTTTCTTTCTTTCTCTTTCTCTCTCTCTCCCCTCCCTGAAAATAAATAAAATCTTTAAAAATAAAAAAAAATAAAACCAATAACCTTCTTGTAGCCAATTAGGTGACATAATAGAAAGTGTATTTACAACTTAAGTTATATTTCTATAAACATCTGTGTGACTGATTAACTGCTGAAAGCTCCACGAGAAGCTATCACCCTTTGTCTTCCCAGCTTCTAGAATCCTGCCTGAACACAGTAGGTCAGCAATTAATACTCAGTGGATTGGGTAGATGGGTGGGGGAATGAAAGGAGGAATGAGCTAGGTTCTAGGACATTCGAGTTAGTTAACTCATGATTCCAGTTCTCAAACAACTTGGTCTAACATAAGAGGCATGTAGCAGGACAGAGAACAGAGACAGAGGGACAGTGGGGATGGAGAGACGGCTGCAGCACAAGAGCGGCGGTTATCAACGACTGCAGGTATTAGGGTCAAGAAAGAAGTCAAGAGTAAAGAAACTCTGAGATTGTTTTCTAATGATGGGGAGTTGTGTAAAGCAGAAGCACAAACAATAAAATTATAAATTCGAGTTCCAGCCAAGATGGAGGTGAAGGTCAAAACCTTCGCACAACCAAAAGGAGGACAACCACCGATCTAGACCACGCGGGCGGGGCTGGCTGAAGGAGAAACTGAGGCTCGGAGCCGACAGAGGGCCAGGTGGTGGACGCGGTGGGAGAAACTCCCAGTCTCCCACGGGAGTTCCTTGGAAGGTGGGCTGGAGCCGAGCCGGCGAGCTGCAGTGCTCCCCCTCCAGCCCCTTCCCCACAGCGCAGCCAGGAGGGTTGTCCCTCCCTGGTGAGTCCCTGAGGCCCCGCCCCCTTACAACCTAACAGGTGCACCGAGACCGGGAAACACGGCCCACATGAAAGAACAGAGCAAAACCTCAGAAAGAGAGCTCAACGAAAAGGAGATAGCCAACTTCACTGATGGAGAATGTAAAGCCCTGGTAATCAAAATGCTCACAGGACTGATTGAACTTGGTCGAAAAATGAAAAAACAAATGAAAGATACCCAAAATGAAATAAAGCTAAATATTCAGGGAACCAACAGTGACAGGAAGGAAACCAAGACTCAAAGCAACAATTTGGAACAAAAGGGAAATATAAACATCCAACCAGAACTGAATGAAGAAACAAGAATTCAAAAAAGTGAAGAGAGACTTAGGAACCTCTGGGACAACCTGAAATGTTCCAAAATCTGAATCATAGGGGTGCCAGAAGGAGACGAACAACAGCAAGAATTTGAGAACTTATTTGAACAGATAATGAAGGAAAATTTTCCCAATCTGGCGAAGGAAATAGACTTCCAGGAAGTCCAGGAAGCCCACAGAGTTCCAAAGAAGTTGGATTCAAAAAGGAACACACCAAGGCACATCATAATTACATTATACAAAATTAAAGATAAGGAGAGAATCTTAAAAACAGCAAGGGAAACGGAGACAGTTACCTACAAAGGAATTTCCATAAGACTATCAGCTGATTTCTCAAAAGAAAACTTATAGGCAAAAAGGGGCTGGAAAGGAGTATTTGAAGTCATGACAGGCAAGGACCTCCATCCAAGACAACTCTACCCAGCAAAGCTATCATTTAGAATGGAAGGGCGGATAAAGTGCTTCCCAGATAAGGTCAAGTTAAAGGAGTTCGTCATCACCAAGCCCCTATATTATATGAAATGTTAAAGGAACTTATCTAAGAAATTGAAGAACAAAACTATGAACGGTAAAATGACAACAAACTCACAGCTATCAACTGAACCTAAAAACAAAAACAAAAACAAAAACTAAGCAAATAACTAGAACGAGAACAGAATCAGAGAAATGGACATCACGTGGAGAGGGGGAAGGAATAGTGGTGAAAAGGTACAGGGAAGAAGCATAATTAGTAGGCATACAATAGACAGGGAGAGATAAAAAATGGTATAGGAAACAGAGAACTCAAAGAACTTACATGTATAACCCATGGACATGAACTAAAGGGGAGGGATGCTGGACGGAGGGGGGATAAAGGGGGGAAAATTGGGAAAACTGTAATGACATAATCAATAAAAAATACCTAAAAAAATAAAATGATAAATTGTACTTTTTCTTAAAATAAAAAAGTATTTCTACCATGTTTCTTTTAGTCTCTATGATTATCTCACTCAATATAACAGAACACAAATTATATACAAAACAGCACATATAGGAAAAAAAGATAACAAAGTTCTAGTTCTCAAGAGATTTACAGTCTAACTCATTGTCGATCTAACCGGCTGAGTATGAGTACTACCCTTTATTAAGAGCAACTTTCTA